TTTAACTTTGGTACTGTAAATTAATAATAAATTAATTCAAGATAAATAAACTGTTAAAGTTTTGATGTTAAGAAAATAGTTTAATCGATACATAACATCTTGTTATGGTTCAAGTTAACTGTAGTTTAGTAGATTGATATTGCGGCCCTAACACTGTATTACAGATCATCCTTACTAAGTTGAAACTATAGACAACCGAATCCACCAATAGCGTATCTCATTCCTATATCCATGTTTAGCAGGTGTAACAAAGAGATTCGTTAGTGAACTAAAGTCGAGTTTGCCATTCGAGACCATTTTGAAATCTGTACGTGAATGGTCCTATCGTCTGCTTTTTGCTGACCTGTCTCTGCAGGTTTATTTACTCTAAAATTAATGTTTTATCGATCCAATTGTTCACATAAATTTTGTAATAAAATTAACCAATTTTGATTAATCATTTTATATAGTGTGGCACTTAGTAATTCTTACTAATATTATAAAAGTAAAAGTGAGTTTATTTGTTAGTTTGTTACCTTACAGCGGCTTAACGACTTAATCGATCATTATGAAATTTGGTATAAACGTATACTATATGGGATGGAGAAGAATATAAAAGCACATTCCGGACAGGCGGACGAAGTCGCGGGTAAAAGCTAGTTATTATATTTATATTATTAAAAATAGAATTCCTTTGTGGATTTCGACATATACTAACCAAGGAAAATGTTTGTCCTTGGTTTTATTGGCAGAACTATAACAAGAAAATTGATAGTAAAGTTTCTTTCTGGTTTTTATAATATTATTTATGACTAGCGGCCCGTCCCGGCGTCGCACGTGTGGACATTTTTAACATTTCCCTTCACTGCTCTGGTTGGTATAGATACAAGTATAGAGCCTTTAAACAAGTGGCAAGCGAATTCGTCAATGGAATCGACATCGCTAGCGAGCTCGTGAGATAGAATGAGATAGCAACGCCGGGTGACTCATTCCAACTCACGGACTGGGGAAAATCGTTAGTGATGGAAATTGAGAATCCCATTGTCAGTAATATACCCAACCAGTTCGACCTCCTCGCGGTTCCCCCTGGAAACTATCATGGTTGATTCCTGATTAATTCGTCATGATGGGCTAACTGGCCTGTTTTCAATCTTCTCTATCACCCTTCACTGGAGCTCCGCCAGCGTATTCCGTTAGCGCAGGTGGAACTACCATTCCATTTTCACCCATAAAAAAAAAAACTCACGGACTCACTAGCGATGATGATTTCATCGACGAATTCGCTTGCCACTTGTCTAGAGGGCCAGTTGTGTTTTCGTTCCAAAAATTTTAATTAATCTTTTAAACGCAACTTAAAATGGCTAACAATCTGACGGGCCACTTGATGGAAAGTGGTTTTTAATTAACGATAAACTAGAAGTAACTTGCCTGCGTTAAGAGGATACGTTGATGGGGTACTAGTGAGGGAAAAAGCTAGGTCAGTTAGCCCATGATGAATACACGCTTGGAATTCAGCACGATGGTGTTCAGAGAGGATTATGGGGAGGTCGACCTGACAGAGTATATTGCTAGCAATGGCACTTGTATTTCGCATTACTAACAATCCTTTTTCCGGCAGAAACTCTTTTGGAATTTTTTGGTTATTCTTATGATTTTTTTCTGATACTCTGTTAATTAATACTAACTCTAGTTTCTAAGGATGAAAACTATTACCAATAGTGTAAAAATTACTAAAACTGAAAAAATGTTTTATTAACTTCTGAGCATTATTATTGACAATGTTCCTGTAGTTTTCAATCGTATTTGTTTGTTTAATTTTGTTTATATTTGTTTAATTTAGTATTGTCTAATTTTGTGTTTCGTTTACTTGTATTTTATTTCGTGCAAATTCTAGTGACTAACAAATTACTATTTAAGTATTATAATTATGTATTTTTTTAGCTGTTTGTTTGCCTTAAATAAATAAATAAAAACTACAACTATTTATATATAGATGGCACCCTCTACCATCTTATATAACTAAGTGAGCAACTAGACAGGGAATTTTTAAATTCCCACGGGAAAAGGATTTACTTCGCCCACATGGGTACATGTGGGCGAAGTTAAGGAAAATAGCTGTATGAAAAGACATTTGATTGAGTGACAGCCAAAAACCTTGGTATTAGAAACGTGATATAAAACTTTATTATTTCCTTCGGTTTTGCTCATATGAATTATAATAATCGGAGGACCGACGACCGATGGGAAAGAAAGGTGCTTGAGTGACGACCCTATATGGACAAACGTAGTGTAGGACGACTCCTACTAGATGTATTGGCGACTTTAAATGCATTGCAGGGAGTTAGTGGATGTAGATGGCTCAGGATCGTTCCTTATGGCAGTCTATGGGGGAGGCTTATGTTCAGCAGTGGACTGTCAGCAGCTGAGATGATAATTACTCTGTGTTAGTCCAGTACATAGTCCATCTATGAAACAAATTTCAATCATATCTATTCAGCTATTGAAGCATGATCGAGTAATAAATATTCAAATATATTATATATATATATATATATATATATATATATATATATATATATATATATATATATATATATATATATATATATATATATATATATATACTTAATTGCACTAAAACATACATCTGGCATCATGGCATAGGAAGTAGTGAGTGGGCAGTAGTAGTGCTAAATAGAAATTAAAATAAATATATACATAAATTATAAATTATTAAAGATTATGTCCCAAAAAACCCGACCTCAAATATGACAAAACCAGTTATTTTGGTCTAAAAATTAAATTTTTTATAGAACCAATCTGTAAGTATATTATTTTAAATAAAAAAAAAGAATTTTTATTTCGGTGTAACAGGAATACAATTTAAACATCTTTACAAGCTTTTTTTTTATAGCAATGAGGTGACAAACGAGCATACGGATCACCTGATGGTAAACGGTTACCATAGTCTATTATAATATCAGCTGTCCACTGAATATAGCCTTCCTCGTGGGGGTTTAGTCCGTAGTTGCCACGTTTAGCAGGCGGGTTGGCAACCGCAGTTTGGCTTTTGGTGGTGTTCTTACCATAGCCTATGTTGCTGACCTTGAAGAAACCTCATTACCTTTTTTTGAAGAAACCCAAGCTGTAATCTTTGGGAAAAACCTTGACAGAAAACTTTCTTATTTATAATATTTGTAACATAATATCCACAAGAAACGTCTACAGGCAAACTTTTTCAATGTACGTTACTTCAACATACCTACTAAACTTGAAATCGGCAAGTACTTAAATCGTTAACGTCCCAAGGGTATCCACCTTATCCCAAAAGTTAGGGAGTCATATTTATCTGTTAATCTTTTACCTTTAAAGTTTGATAAATTGAAACAATCTTATAAGAGATAGAGAAGAATTTAAATTACTAGGATCATAGGCATTTAGTAATGAAAATATTTAGCCTTTTTTATGTTACTTAAAATGGCAAATAAGCTAATTGGACACACGATGTAAAGTAATAACCGTTGCCTATAGGCATGAACAAGTAAGTAGGTATAGAAAGTTGAGTTTTTTAAGCGTCCACATTATTATTGTATATAGTTATTTCAATATTATCATCATCATCATCATCATCATATCAGCCCTTAATGGTCCCCTGCTGATTATAAGTCTCCCCCTTGGGGGGTTTTGCTAGTAGTTGCCATGCCTTGCAGGCGGATAGGCAACCGCATTTAGGCTTTAGAAATCTTTTAAGAGGGACGCTGCTGCCCTCTTTCATCTTTCGCCCTCCCTTAGTCTCCTTTTATGACATCTATGGTAAAACCCCCCAATAGGGGAAGGCTTATGTTCAGCAGTGGACAGTTACGGCTGATACGGTATGGTACGATATGGGGATCGAACCAGCGACCGAAGATAAAACGATGTGTCCACCCACTAGACTATCAAAGTCGTTGAGTCTGTTAAAATAATAGCTTTTTATAAAAAAAAAACCTTTAAAAGGTTAAGTAAATATGACATTTTGCGTAAATATAAACCGTTTTTGTACGGATTTAGTCACTGATTACAGAGTATTGTAATTTTATACGGGATAGTTTTTTATACGTTATCAGAACTTGGTATTTTAATACATTACGGCATTTTCTGTATAACGTGACAATATAAAAAAGAAATATTTTATAAATTACATATACACTAGCTTTTGCCCGCGGATTCGCTCGCTTATAGTATTTGATTTCTCGCAGAAATTACTTTTTCGCTTAGTGGTCACATTTTGATCAAAAGTCTAAAATTAAAGTTTTGTACTTATAGCTTTCAATTATTACATAACTCCTATATAAAATTTACACCCATATTTCTATTTTTCGGTATTTGAATTATATTCAAAACCAATAAACATATTAATTTTTTAAAACAAGATCATAAATCTAAAACTTCAAGTGTCTAACTTCTACAAAGTAATGACGAAATTCCATACAAACTTTCAACCCCCGTTTCACTCCCTTAGGAGCTGAATTTACAAAATTCCGTTCTTATTCTACGTCTACGCTATATAAAGAACTAATTATCAGTAAAATTTCAAATTTCTAGATTCAGTGTTTTCGGCTGTGCGTTATATATGGGTTAGTTACTCAGCATAATTTTTGTATACACAGATATAATAAATGTTAAAAGTCTTCCTAACGACGCTTCATTTCTTACAATCTGTCGAGCCGTTTTACCTATATGTTGTATTTTAAATCTTAATATACACATATGTACATAAATAACCCGGAAATATATTAACATCATTTTTATAATATTCGGATAAAGTATATAAATTCTCATTTCCTAAAAAATCAATAGATGGCGTTACTGGTATGCACAATCAATTCTTTACTTCAAAACTCTATATATTTATTAACAATCACCAATAACTACAATTCAAACTTTAAAAATAAAGTTACAAACATACGTAATAATATATTAAAAACAAAACATGCAGCTCTCGTTAGCTGTGAATGTTTCAAACAGTCTGCTACGACCCTTCGTAGCGTCGATACGAGTCTACGAAGGCTGTACGCGGTTTTACGTCAAAAACGCCGGTTTTAATATAAACATACATATTATATTATTAATAATTAATAGAATTGCAATACCATTTTATGTATAGCATATAAAATATTATATATATATGGTATAAATTGCCGAAGAATAGTGATAATTTTATTGTGGTATTTGTGATTTGTGGTTACAATAACGGTTTACGTTTATTAAACCGTATATATTGAAGGTAAGTTCCTGTTTCCTGTCAAATAATATAACAATAAACATACAAATAACTAACATTATTTATTATTGAAGCACTTGAATAAGTAAACTGTAATTACATTCACCAACCTATTGTACCTACAATAAAATAAAAAGCTTTGGATTTAATTTTGATAAATGAGTTCTAGATTAGTCTGTAAGTCCATGAATGAGTAATAAAGTCGTCGAATAATATAATAATTAACTTTTAAATACAATGTACGTTATATTTTTGTGGTACAATTGATATTATTAATAGAGAAGTGGAGCGTTGCGTTGTAAATTGTTAATATGTCTTATCGCTACGTAGAGTTGCTATATTATTTATAAAAGACTCGATAAACGGATTTAATCTATATTAGTAAGTGCTTTCCCTTTCTCTCGTATTAAAAATTAGTTTGTATGAGTGAGATAGAACATTTCCTTGTTAAAATATAATTATTATATACTTTTATTTGATGTATTCTATTTATGAATTTAAAATGTTTTAAACTGTACAACTGACCGTTGCAATAATGATTACGCAAAATACAATATGTTTGTTTTTTTTTCAGTGTTGCTTTTTATTCTCAATCGATTCCAAAAAAGGGAGGTACTTAATTCGGTTGCTTTTTTATGTTTGTTAACCTCATAACTTCGTCAGTTGTAATCTGATGTGAAAAAATATTTCTTTATTTGAAAGGATATGCTTACTGATTGGTCCCATAGAAAGTTTATCAAAATCAGTAGTTTAGTTTTTAAATCAACCGGTTTAGCCACAACTGTATTTTTTTTTTATTTTATGAAACACAATCTTTCATTGGTGCATATAAATAGTTAGGACAGTACAGTTTTTATATTAAGTTTTACCAGAGGGAGACTTTGTACAAAAGTCGTTTACTTAGCCAGCTCTGTTCCATTCGTGTTTTTACTGTGAAGCAGTTGTTTGTACCGCGATTCAGTTTGAATGGTGGGATATGGTAGTGAATTTACAGGGTACAGAAGAATAACAGCTGAGTCCTCAGGAATGGCAACGCATGGGGGGTATCATGGGCGAAACAATATACTCTGTTATGTTCATAGTATTGTTCATGTCTATAGGCGACGGTTACCACTTTCCATCAGGTGCACCGCTAGCTTGTTTGCCATTTTAAGTTACATAAAAAAATGAATTATCTTTTTTCTGATTTTAGAAGTTGTTAATTTAATTTTCTATTAATGTTATTTTTTAATAGAAAATTTTTTACAGGGTAAATTCATATAATACAGCACTATGGTTATTTTGTTTGTCTGTCTATCTCGTAAGGAAACGTAATAAAGCTTATATTCCACTAGGTTACATTTATACCGGGGAAATGAGAATAGTGGTAAAGTTTTGCGCGCTCCCCTTGGGTATATATACCTACGCATTGCATTGCCTCTTTCTACCGTGAAATAGAAGTATGTTTTTTATTCTATTTTGCTCTGGAAGGGGGAGAGTACTAGTGTATTCGAAATCAGTTGATTCTAGAGACATTGTCATTATTAAGGTCATACATATTTTTTGGCATAGCAGTAGTTATTGTTAATAAATGATAATGGAATGGTATACTTGCCTGCGTTATCGGTATGTACTGGCGGGGCACCAATGAGGGATGATAGGTGAGAATGAAAAGGCAGGTCAGTTAGCCTATCGTGATGAATACACCTTTAATTTAGCACGATGGTTTCCAGGGGAGGACCATGTGGGGGATGACCTGACAGGGTATATAGCTTGCATTGGGACTGGTGGTCTGCATTACTAACAATTCCTTCCCCCAGCAGTAGTAGTAAGTGATATTCATAAATCAATTTTAACTACTGAAGTATTTCAGTGGTATTTCGCGGCTCACCTTTGGTCACAACAGAATATCAGTGTTTTGCTCTTTTAAGGGCAAAGCAAAAAGCTGAGTTGTGGCCATTTTGTATTACTGTGGCACACGCATGAAGAAAAAAAATTGTTACTAATTTTATGCATTCTGATTTTGTTTTTGTTATTTTTTTTATTTTTTTACATGTATCTTTTTTATCTTTTTTCCTTTGCATTTGTGTCTTTTGCTGTTTGTGTGCTGTAAGTAATGCAAATACACTATTTATCTATCTATCTATTTTTTATCGGTGTCTTTCTAATTGGGAATATAGTATAAAAGAAAGAGACAAAATAGTTAAATAGCTAAAATAGGTTTGCGAGAGGTTTGGCAATTTTATGAATAAGAGGAATACTTTACTATTATCCACGCTGATCAGACGGCATGGTGTGGGATTTTATTTCGAGTTTTTCTTAGAACAGATATGCATACAATCTATGATCCCAGGCTCACAAGCGGTATCGAACCCTTGAGTCTTAGGAGAGATTTTGCCTCACTCTGCGTGTTCTACCGCCTGTACAATGGATTGTGCTCAGAGGAATTGTTCAATATGATGCCCACAGCCACTTTCTAACATCGTACGGCTCGCCATCGACAGGGAGTTCATCCTCATGTCCTACAGCCTCAATGGTCGCGTGCTGCGCGGTTTTAGAGATGTTTCCTCCTACGAACACTCAGGTTGTGGAATAAGCTCCCTGCCGAGGTTTTCCCAAGAGACTACAGCATGGGGTTCTTCAAAAGGGGGGTAAAGAGGTTTCTTCAGGGTCGGCAACGCACATGTAATACCCCTGGTATTGCAGGTGTTCATAGGCTACGGTAACCACTTACCATCAGGTGAGCCGTATGCTTGTTTGCCATCTCAGTTGTATAAAAAAAATAAAAGTTGAGTGAAATACTAAGCTAGTTAACGTATTAAAATATTTATGTAAATATCGAAATAGATGATACAGTCTATTTTAATAGAACATAATAAAAAATGTAAACAACAAACACTTTTTTATGAAACTTAGAAATGCAAGCAAGCTAACTGTCGCTTATAGACAAGAACAGCACCATGGACGTCGCAGGATATTTTGTGACAACCATGGTATGAGACTTTCTCATAGTATATTCCTTTTTAAAAGGCCGGCAGCACACCTGCAATGCCGCTGGTGTTGTGGGTGATCATGGGCGGCGGTAGTCGCTTACCATCAGGTGAGCCGCATGCTCGTTTGCCCCCTGTGTTGTAAAAAAAAAATTGCTATTCTTGAGGGCTAAGATATTACGAGTATGTTTCCGTACCTTATAATTTCACTACCATATCTTGCCCTTGAAACCAAAACATAGTCACGCAAAAGATAGCTGCTTCATGCAGAAACACAAAGGGAACAGGGATTCCCATACAGACGACTTTTGTACAAAGTTTTTTTTTTATTTTTTATTCAACTTGATTGGCAAACAAGCTGACGGCTCACCTGATGGAAAGCGGTAACCGTCGCCTATAGACATGAGCAGTACCATGGACATAACAGAGTATACTGTTTCGCCCACGATACCCCTCATGCGTTGCCTCAAGTTAGTATCGTGGAATTTAAATTTAAGTTTCATTGAAACTATGGGAAAGGATCGGAGAAATAAACAAAATTATGTATCCAATACTTTGGTTAAATAATAGGCATTAGTGTACCTACATCATTAGTCATATAGAAAAACTGAATATATATAAATTGTTGCTTTACTGATGGATGTTCAATTAAATAAAAAAATTGGGGAAATATTAATTTGTAATTGAAAAATAATAAGATTATGAGCTTTATAACCCCTCATGCGTTGCCATTCCTGAGGACCCAGGTGCTATTCCTCTGTACCCAGTAAATTCACGCCATATCCCACCCTTCAAACCGAAACACAGCCATGCAAAGTCTCCAACAAGTATCTGATCTATAGTATATATAGTAGTACCACTCAAGACTCGATTCATTTATTGAACGTTTTGATTTGTTATTTAATACTTTACTTGTGTTTGTACGATAATTTCGAGAGAACTTGTTTATTTTTTCTTTAAGTTCTTTGGAAACAGATTACATTATCTTAATGCGATTGAATGACGCAGCACGCACACAGTTACGTATGTATTGTTCTGTTCACTTTGCCTTTTCTTACTAATGGTGGGTGATATTTATATATTACCCACCTTTAGTATCTATATATTTTAGTTATAATATTTACATACTGATCTAATATCGAATATGTTAAAAGTCTGTTATTCAAAAAATAATATTGGATAATAGACTTTTAACACATTCGAAATTGATATCTGACCTGATGGGCGATATCGAAATGGGCGATATCGAGATGGAAATGGGTTTTTTCTGCCATCAATGTCGAGAGAAACTCAATATGTAGATCGGTATCTATGTTACTTATGCCTACTTCTTACGATATTTTGAGAAGAAAATGAGCGGTGACATATTACATTATGATTCCATCACCACAGGATAATTATTGTCCAAATCTTTATAGCTTATTCTAATATTCTGTATCTAATATTCTGACTAAATCTATTCAGAACACACACACACACACACACACACACACACACACACACACACACACACACACACACACACACACACACACACACACACACACACACACACACACACACACACACACACACGCGCGCGCGCGCGCGCACGCACGCACGCACGCACGCACACACGCACGCACACTCACAAACACACACACAGATATATATGACTATTTGGACTTCTGGTGGATACATACAGTTCTATCGTAGTATAAAAATGTTTCTTACTAGCAGTTGTCTAACAGATAGATATTGTAAAAATCGTCAATCTTACGGGACCACTCATAGACCGTCTAATAAATTGAAATACAAATATACTGAATATTTAAAATAGTTTTATTTTAATCTTTCAAATTACTGTTTCCTTGTCGCTTATCTTATTTATTATTCAAATAATTACAGAATATCAAATAAGACACCTATATTTTTTTGTATAATACTGTTCAAGAACCGTTATAATGATTATTATAAAACTTTCGCCGAGAAAATGTTACAAAACTCGTCAACTTTTTATATTTAACTTTTTCATGTCAACTAAAAGTTGAACAA